GTGGAGAGAGCAACCTGCCTGCTGGATCGAGCCATGCCTGGACCTTCCCACTACATGAACCAATACGTTTCTTCTCTTGATGATGCCAGTTTCAGTTGAGTTTCCCGTCTCTTGCAATTAGGAGTCCTAACGGACCCAGGAGGTTGGTTAGTGGTTCACTAATGAGGATACTCTGCCATGAGACCAGCGGTGACTTTCTCTCCTAGCCCCGTCCTGGGGAGATCACCTACATGTTAGAGATGAAGTGCAAGTGGCACCCTGAAGGGACAGCATGCATGTCCGCCACCATGTGGGTGGTTTTAGGGTAAAGGACCCCATTCTGATTAGGCGAGTGGAATGGGCCAGTGCGTTATTCATACCGGAGAGACTTGGGTCAGGGGGGAGCAGGACAGGAGGGTGAGAGTAAGTCCCTGCTCAGAGCCTTTTGGGCACAGGCACCGGACAGAGGGGGCCCTGGGGCCATACTGTCACCAAAGGCAATGTACATGGTCTTGAGCAAGCTGGCTCCTAGAGCTCAGGGCACCTCGCCAGGTCATGTGACTGTGGCCTGGACCGGTGGGCGTGGGGGGGGGGCGGGTTCCAGGCAGCACAGTCTGGGGAAGCCGGATTCGGTGCCATCTTGTCTCCAGGCGTGGACCCTGGAAGATGCCAGGGCCTTCTCTGTCAGTCACCTGCCAGGCCTATGGCTTCCCTCGGCCTCTCCCTCCCTCTCCCTCCTCAGCCTGGATTCAGACCCTGCATCTCACCTGGGCTCCCACTTCTCCTGATCACCTCCCACTAGATGCCTGCAGTTTCTTGCTAAAGCACAAACCTGCTCATGCTGCTCTCCCATTTGGTCCTCAGCACTGCCCACGCCCCGAGGGTAGAGCACACACTGCTCACTCAGGCGGGTGTGCAGCGGCCACATCCGGTCCCTGGGCTCCTGTCCTCAGCCTCAGCCCCAGCCTCGTCTCTCCTTGCTCCATCCTCGAGCACCGAAGAACTGCGTCTGCACCCCCAGCCTCTCCATGCCATTTCACAGGGACTTTTGCCCCCCCTGGCCCTCTGCCTACGACGCCTCCTTCCCTCTACCCCCTTCTCCCTCGTTTGGCCTGATGACCAATGGCCTGTAATGAATTCTTTCTTTTGAACACAGAAACTCAGTGGAGGTGATGTAGACACAAGGCTGCTCTGCAGAGAAACGAGGATGGCCAGTGTGGCTCAGTGGTTGAGCATCGACCTATAAACCAGGTCATGGTTCGATTCTCGGTCAGGGCACATGCCCAGGTCTTGATCCCCAGTGTTTCTATCTCTCTTTCCCTCTCTCTTCCTCTCTGCAGGCATCGAGTGGGAGGTGATCAGCCGGGCTTTTACCAAGACCCTGGACCCCACCTTCACCCACCCAATCTGGCTGATCTGCCTTCTTGACCTTCTCGGCACTGGGGGCCCGTTCTCTGGGCTTCCGCTTCCTCGGCAGACCTAATTTATAGACCAGGTTGGGGGCCACTCATTTAAGCTGAGCTTGATACATGCTAGCTCTCACACCCCGAGGCAAGAGCTGGGCTCCCGTCTGCGGAGAATGAGTCAACACAACGACCTAGTGGAAGATGATGAGCTTGGGAGATGATGAGCTCAGTGCTAGATTTTCTGCTTATGCATTAGAAAAAGAAGTGAGGGAAAGAGGTGGCGAGAGGAATGTTGGCCAGGAAGCCAGCCTGACCAAGGACTCTTTGCTGCTCAGTAGTTGAGCCAAGCTAGCCGAATCAGGAAGAAATAATAGTAATTCATCTTGACTCAACTCTGGCCATTTACTTCACAAAATAGGCCAAGAGCTACATCTAACCTGGATGCAGTCACAGGGGTGTGCAATCCCCCCACCCTCAAGTGCTGGTCTAGTCCGGCAGCCAACCCTCCCTCCCTCCCTCCTTCCCTCCCTCTCTCCCCTCTTCCCTCCCTCCCTCCCTCCCTCCCTTCCTTCCTGCTTCCCCTGAGGGAGCATCTACCCTGGCGCTTCCTGAGCGCCTTCTGTTCTAAGCGCCTGGGACCCAGTGAGAAGCAGACTGCCTCATGAGTCTGTTTCTAAGGGTGGGGGCGGGGAGCAGGGAAACAGTCGTTGGACAGGCTGTACGTTGATGGCTGCCATGGCAGGAATGCAGGCACGGGGTGGGGGTGGTGGTTTTGAAGAAAGAGAAGGCAAACCCCAGAAGCAAGTCTAGGCCGGAAGTGCCTTCTGGTTGGTGCAGCCCAGGAACTCGGACTGTACCAGCCGCAGGAGAATGGCTTCAAGGCCATTGTTTCTCAGGTAACCACCTCACAAACGCCTTTCCAAGTCAGCTCATTCCTGACTGCGGGCCAGCAGGCCCTGTCACTGTGACCACAGGGATGCACACGGCCCAGGCGCTGTGACTTGTTGAATGCCTACGCTTGCCAAGCTTTGTTGTAGACATTGGGGATAAAGTGATGCAAAGATGAAGTCCTTGTCTTCATGGAGCTTATATCTATGGGGAGATGGGTAATAAATAGGTGATGAGATAAACATAGATGCACATTGAAGGGCTAATAGTGTCATTGAGTGGAACTAGAAGGGGATCCTAGAGGAGATGGGAGAGGACGCTGGGCAGAGGGAACAAGAGGAGGGCAGGCTCCCCGTGGGGGGTACTTCCAGTATGGGGGAAAGCCAGGAGGCCTGTGGGCAGGACAGTGGGGTGGGGTGAGGCCTCCTGGGGACTTTGCGTGGTGTTCTGGTGTGACAGGAAGCGCTGGCGGGTGGAGCACAGGGATGTCAGGATCTGCCTGGTACCCTAGGAGGATCCCGCTGCTGCTGTGTGAGGAACAGACAGGGGCAGGGGAACAAGTGGGGTAAATGACACTTGTGGGCCAGGGAGATGGGTGGTTAAACCTCGCTGGTGGCAGCGGACCAGGTGGGCGGGGTCGGATGGAGCTCAACCTGGTGGCCTCGGTGGTGGATGCAGAGTGAGTGGGGCCCAGGCTGAGCCTGTCAGGATGCAGGCCCGGGTGGCCGGATGCTGTCAGGTGCCTGGCCTCCGGACGGACTGGGACGTGCAGGGCGAGGCCCAGCAGCTGAGTGATTGGAACTAGGAACCAGAATTAGGAAGTGAGGTCCAGGGCTCTTTGACCCAGAACATCTCTTTACATGTTATATTTGGTTAGAAATTGGGGCCAAAAGACGCTGGGAACTGCACTCTGTCCAGCATGAGGGACGTTATACTTGGATTTCCAACAGAGCAGCCGGTAGATTGCTCCTGCATAGCTTCTCTCCAGGCACATTAGTAGATACACTCTTATATGGGAAGTTGGACAGCTGATGGGTTGACCACAGGCAGCATGGGAACACCCAAGCGGATTGCCGGACCGTTTGTCGTCCGTTTGCCTTCCCTTTGGTTGCCTGGGTGGCTGACACCACTGAGCCTAGGGCAGGGTGAGGAGCTTTGTGGTGGCCACACCTGGACTCTGATTCCAGGGAAAGACCAAGGCCACACCCCATCTGGCTCCTCACCCCATCAGATGAGGTGCTCCCCTGGCAGTGAGCAGGATTAGGGGGTCGAGTGGGCACTGTCAAGCCCTCCCGTCGAGTCCTGCTCAGCTCCATACAGCCCACCACTTGGAGCGTGTCGGGAAGGGGAGGGCAGGGAGGTGGACGGACAGAGACCCTCGCTCCGCTGAACTCAGGAGTGTCCCTGCACCAGAGTCGGCGAGCAGAACAAGCTTTGCTCTGCGCCTGGCACTGCCACCGGGCACCAGTGCCGAGTCCCAGCTGCTCCTGTAGCAAAGGGCCAGGGAGGGTGCCGGGCAGGACGGACCATGGAGAATGCGCTTCAGAGGGAAACCCCACCCTGCACAAACCCAGAGCAAAGCGGCTGCCAGTGTTTCCCCCCCACTCCCGCGCTGGGGCGGGCGGTCCTGGCAGGCTTGCCACGCTCCCACAGGGCAGCACAGACAGCCCTGTGGGGACATGTGCTTTTATCCTTTCCTGACCCAGTGGCTTCACTGAATGTAAAGGGAGCTGGTAGAGTATTCCCAGCATCAGAGGAATTCAAGGTTAAAATCCATGTTTTAAAGGAGCTAAGGGCCCAGACGTGTCCCTCTTCCTGTTCCTTAGCTGGTTTATTTAGAATAACCAAACTCCGAGCGAAGTCCTGTTCCAAAGCTCAAGCCCTTTTCCTGCAGGCGTGGCCCCCACGGAGCCGGGCCTCCAGGCCGCGTCTGCACTCACAGCCAGAGGCCGGAGAACCGAGCAAGCTGGGGAGGGAGAGGAGGTGCGGACAGCATCCCAGGCTGTGCTCCGACCAACAACTCCACCTGTTGCATGGGGAGGGGCTGGCAGGTCTGGGAACTCCAAGGTGAGCAAACTCAGATTTCCTATTTCTAACCTTGAGACTAAGGCCTTACTATGGACCTGTGCCTAGTGATCCCCCGAGAGCAGTGACAGCGAACGTCTCCGGAAGATGCTCACCCCATGGGAATGCTGATGGGCATAGGGTCCGTGGGAAAGGTAGAGTCTTTAGGCGGGTCTGGGGGATCAAGCAACTGTCCTTGCTGGGGCTGTTGGGGTCCATCCTGGGACACAGAGGATGGGGGTTGGGGAGCATGGGAAGCAGCGAGAAGGTGTGAAGGGCCTCACCTTGCAGTGTCCCCAAGAGAAATCGGAGTGTCGGGTCTGAGGGCCGGGAGGCGCGGTCCTCCGATGTTGGGGGACAGCAGCCCCGGGAATTTCCTGAGCAGAAGGACAAGCCAGAGTCCCCAAGGGGGGTTTCTTTGGCGATGGATTGGAAGGAAGGAGAAAGGAAGACGCGATGAGTCCGAGAAGGTGGGGCGGGGCAGCGGGTCACGGCCTTTTGTTACTATTCTTTTGGGTGCACAGGGGGCTCCTTCCCTCCCTGCAGAGAACGGCCCCTGTGTCCACCTCTGCTCTGCTTGCTCATGAAAATGAGTCAAATGCTGTCAATTCTACCGGAAACCGTCCACACTCAGCCCAGGATGGCAAATAAAACCAGCACAGCTCCCGTTCTCATACTCGTTTACTCAGCAGAAAGGAGAACCGAGGCATTTTACACATTTCAGGGCTGCAACAGGTTTTCTTCCCAGTCACCCCTGGGCCACGTCCCCCACAGGAGGTGACCTGGCTGCGGCCAGGAGGGAACATTTCAGATGCACAGAGACAGGGCCAGACGCTGAGTGTAACCGCTTTAGAAATCTCGGAGAACAGGCCTATTGCAACGGCTGTTTCCATGCCACTGGGCCTTGCGGAGGTGGCTCAGTTGTTGAGCATCGACTTATGAACCAGGAGGTTGAGGTTCAATTCCTGGTCAGGGCACACGCTTGGGGTGTGGTTTCGATCCCCAGTGGGGGGCGTGTTGGAGGCAGCCGATCAATGATTCTCTAATCATTGATGTTTCTCTCTCTCCCTTCCTCTTTGAAATCAATAAAAATGTATTTAAAAAAATAAGTAAATGCCGTTTAAACTTTCCACATGAATCCTTGCCCTGGACACTGGGCAATTAAAACACCGTTAAGCTTCAAGACCTTCAGGCAAATGGAACTGGACAGGGGAAGGGGGCGCACGGGAAGGACTGTGAGCCCACAGGTGATGAGGTCACACCTGGCTACAGGGAAACCCACCCGGCGCCCCAAACCGGAAGCAGCGCCCCGGATTCCGACTCAGCTCCCAAATCCCATGGATGTGTGGGGTAATTTCTGAATTCGGAAGGAGGAGGACGGAAATGTTTCTCGTTGAGGGGACAAGAACGTGAGCAAAAGGACAAGCCAGAGTCCTCAGCTCACTCCTTCTGATTCCTTCCCTATGGGCCTGAGCAGGCCCCCAGCAAAGGGGGGCGCTGTGCACACTGGCTGAGGGACGTGTGGAGCGAGCGGGGGGTTCGGGTGTTAAGCCTAGCGCTGCCCTTCCAGAAGGAAATGCTCCGACCCTGCTGTAAGGAGGCCTTGGATTCCTGGGCTTTGGAAATGCTGAGGTGCTGCTGTCGGGAGGGCAGGGCTGGCAGTCCAGTCTGGGACCCCAGGCAACTGTTTGGGATTCTTCCTCGTGTCAGTGTCGCTGGAGGGACTATGCGGCTGAGTGGATGGGCAGAGAAGGTGGGGGTGGCGGAAGAGGCACACTTGCTCATGGAAGTGAGGAAGGACAGAATGGGGTGGAGGTGCAGGAAGAGATATGTAAAGGCCCTCGAAGGGAAATACAGTCTTTCTTTGTATTAACCTACTGGGCCAGCCCAATTCTTATTTGGGAGGGTTTTGTATATCATCACTCAAAATTTTGTTGCAGGATCATGAAGCACCAAATCGCTTTGCACCTTGTACTGAGCCCAGTGACTTCTTTTCTCCTCCTCCGGAATCCCGAACGATTCTTGCCTCACAGCAGAGGGAAAAAGGTGTGCGCTCCCTGTTGTGTTTCCCACAGGCCAGTGTGATTTCAGCTCTGAGGCTCCCCGCTGTCCCTGTCCACGCCCCGCTGCTTGCAGGTGAGCATGAGCAGCAGGAGCAAGGGCAGGTGCCAGAGGCTGCAGAAGAACAGCTTCCTGGAGCTCTTCCTGTCCGCGTCCCTGTAGAACCGGAAGCCGAGGTAGGAAATGTACAGGTTGATGGGGAGCGCGATGACGGGGAAGGTCCATGTGGTGACCCCCAGGGCGGGGGCTGCGGCGGACAGCGCGAGCAGCGCCAGGCAGTGGCGCAGGGCGACCCGCCGGCACAGGGCGGGGTGCGTGACCGACATCATGCAGTAGCCCCCGCGGGAGTAGTCCTCCCGGAGGCCCCAGCTCAGCGCGTTGAAGTGCGGGAACTGCCAGGAGTAGAGGATTCCGCCCAGAAGAAAGGCTCCTGTGGAGACAGGGAAGCAGAGAACGTCGGGATTTTACCAGGCACCACCTCCCACCCGAAGGCCTCCGGCCCCAAGGGGCTCTGCCCGATTCCACCTTCACGGGGCCCCAGGCCCTGCCAGCCTGGTTCTCACCTCCGCTCAGCCTGCCCAGCCTGCTCTCCACAACCTCCCCGCCCCAGCTCTCATCTGGGTGGGCAGGGCGCTGGCATTGGGAGGCGGGGTGCCCGGCTGCAGGGCTTAGAGTGACACACTTTGAGGCTCCTGCCTCCCCTCTTCTACTTCTCCCATAAGAGAAGCCCCTACAGCACAAGCAAACGCCTTGGGAGGGGCTGCCCCTGGGCGCTCTGTGCTGAGCTCCCGGCTGTGCCCACACGCTGGCCAATAGAGCATCTTTAAAAGAAGGGATGTGCACTGCTTTGTAGACATAATGCCAATGGGCGTTCAACAGACTAAAGTATTTCTGTGGACAGTGAGGACCTTTGGGGAATCAGGAGGCAACAGAAGGGTAGGTTGGATCGTCCAGGTACAACTGAGTCATACACAGGGGGAGAGAAGACGACGTTTTGCAGTTTGATGGGAAAACAGAATGATCTCTGGGCTTTAAAGGGACCAGTGAAGAGAAAGTGCTCTCAGCGGTTCTCAGGGCCGGGCCACTTGGAGGCTTCTGAGCACGAAGTCCGTGGACTGGCCACCCCAGCGTCTGCGCAGCCTCCGGCCGGGAGGTCTGAGTGCAGGACGGTGTGCAGCTACACAGCCATGCACAAGGGACAAAACAACGTCAGCGATGGCTTAGAAGCCGGGAGGGAACAGAAGTCAGAGCCCAGGATCTGTTTATCTGTGGCCGAGAAAGGGCAACTCCGTCTGGAAACCAGACCCGAAAGGGTTAAAATCAGATCCAGATGGATTTCTCTCCTCGTTCTCCAAAGCCCCCTTCTTAGTGTGCCAACTGCAGGATTCTGCTGTGCTCAATACACACTTCTCAGTTATGCTTCTCCTTAAAATAACAACTTAAAAAATCATTTTCCTAAGAGTAGCTCGCTGCTTTCTATGTGAGAGGAAATGGGTATGGGTTTGGCTCATGTCACAAATGAAAGCGCTTTAGAAATCACAGCGCAGCCTTAATGGACTAATCAGAAAACCACCGCCCCCACAGTTCTCCTCGGCCGCAACTGCCGCTGCTCATCCACAGGACGGAAGACAAATTCCTCTCATCAAGATAAGGAGCTGCAATCGGAAGACTTGAATTAGTCCGGGGCTGTGGGGACCCACCTTCGCTGTGCGGTGAACACAAAGCACTCAGTTACTAATTCAAAGGCCTCCCCTCAGCCTCACGCCCACAGAGTGGTCTGATTTTATTGGGCCGATCTGCTGTAGCAACAAATATTCATGTGCGCCCACTACACCTTAGGTGCAGTCTGTCCCCAAGGCCTCCACTGGCGCGGGAGACAACACAAGGGATTACAGCCCAGAGGCGGTGCTGTGGCGAGCACCCCGGAGGAAGACCAAGGTCAGCCTGGGAGAGGTCAGGGAAGGCTTCCTGGAAGAAGCAATGTGTAAAGCGGACCTGAGGATGGTCTTGGAGGTTCAATGCATTCACACACACTGTGTGTCTTCTGCAACTATTAAATGTATTTTCTCGTTTTCCTATCTAACTGCGGAATCTTTGTACATACTTGCTTTAACCATATCTGGAAGAAAAGTCTGCTTCCTTCATTTTAATCGGGTATTTGCTGGTCTGTGAATACATAAAATACTGAGAATCTGAAATGGTGGCACGTCTGTGGCTAAGGTTCTCCCAAGGAAGCAGCTTCCTGAGACCACGGTGCCAGAGTCCCAGCCACAGGCCACACCAGAGACAATGCGGGAGTCCGGGCATGCTCACTGCCCTCCACACTGAGAGGACTCAGGAGCACGCCTGCAGGGCTGTGGTCAGCCGCTGGGGGATCCTGACCTCGGGCACCCGGCTCTGACCAGGGGACAAGGCTCAGAGCGTCTTCCTGGTGACTGAACATACACGGCCTTCTGAACTCCGGGCACCTGTCAGTCACGCCCCCACTCTGCCGGGAGAACCTCCGTGGCCACCTCTGCTCCAACCTGGAATGCTGCTGGGCGTGCTCCTGGCATTCTGCTGGCAGACAGGCCCAGGCAACCCAGCTGACTCTTTCCTAAGAGAATGGAGCTCCGACTCACTGTCTGAGCATGGCCTTGAAGAGGATAAAGAATGGGGCTCCAGCGAGTCTGGTGCTGGGTTCGGGGGTCTTCCCTTCCATACAGTAGGCTCCCTCTCCCCATGGCCCTCACAGCCTCTGGTCCATGACTGGCTACCTGGGTGTGGTCATGTAAATGGGGGAGGGGCAGCTGGGAAGCAGCGCCATACCCAGAGCTTGGTGCTCAGGGATCTGGAAGCCTTTCCTTTGAGGGGAGCACAAAGGGGCCCTGAAAGAGGCCTCAGTCCTGCATCAGGTGGGAGGGCAGGCGCACAGGTAAAGGGGAGAGGACGTGGGCTGGTTTATCAGCTGCGCAGCCACTAGGCACTGCCGCCCGTCCTCTGCAATGGAAACAGTTCGCAGGGCCTGCTCCCTCCCACGGCTCCTGGGAAGCTGCCCAGGCCCAGGAGGGGCCTCGCCTACTGCACACCCTACGCCCAGCGGGCACCCGGTTTCCTTTGAAGGGAAAGACGAGAGTAAGGGAACCACCAAGCTCTGACTCTGAACAAAGTGCTCCTCTCCTTCTCCATCTTACCCCCGGAGGGCAGTTTCGAGCACCTGTGGGTCCAACACACTCAGGTGGTCCCGAGGGACACCCACTAGCCTGTTCCTGAGCTGTGCGGCCACGGCAAGGCCACCAGGCACCCGCTGCCACTTCCTTCAGGAGGCACCGGCCCTGCGCCCTAAACGCTCCCCCTAAACGCTCCGTTAACTGACAAGACGAGCACACCTTGGCCCCAAGCCGGCCTCCTTACACCGCCAGCCTGGGCTCCAGCAACGCATTTCAAAATGCCCTTTTGCAGCCTCTGTGCTTTCGCCTTTGAGGAGAACAGGGCTCTGAACACTGTTTGCTGCGCTAACACTCCCATGAAAACATCCCTTGTTCCCTCTGTCTTTAAAATATCATTTGTCTTCATTAATCTGAGCTCTAAGGCTAGTTATGAAAAATTTCTCACACAAAATGAACACACTCATTTTTAAGTTTGATTTTAACAGGCAGTTATTTTAAAGAAAATCTTTAAAAGTGCTGGGGTTCAACAGTGCCTGGTAAGCTCACAAGTATTTGCTGGGAGAATGAGTGAATAAATTCTCTTCATTCTATTTCCTTATCCTGGAGGGAAGGAGGTAAATAAAATGAAACAGGACTGAACATTTTGTAGTTTACCAGCTGAGACTAAAAACACTCATTCTCTTTTTGTTCTAAAACCATCCATCTGTGAAATATCATTTCCTGATAAGCGCCCACACCTAAGTCCTCATTTGTAACTGAATGTTGTCTGACATAATGTTTACCACACAACATCTGAGTGACAAACCAAAGGCAATTTAGGAATCAGCTCCACAAGACTGTCCACCCAGGCCCACACCATAAACGCCCAAGACTGGGATTTACTCAAATTCAGGAAAATTATAAAATAGAATCTGAGCCTTTTTAAGAAATGGGGGTGATGGAAGGAGAGGTGGGCTTGGCAAGGAGGAGGGATGAGATTTTAACCTGAAGCTACAGGGAACTAGACAGCCTCTCCAGATAACCCCATGGAGAGGCCTGCCGCACGTGGTCTAGGCCCGCGGGGAACTGGGCTGCCCGCTGCCCGCACTTGTCTGCAGTGCCCCCCACTCCCCACAGTTCCTTTGCTAGGGCCCTGGTAGGCCACTCCCTTCTCTGCTGTCCACTGAGAGCAGAATCAAACCCAGTACCTCCACCCCTAAGGCACCAGCTGGCCAGACCAGGGACCAGGGACCAGAACAGTCCCCTGCGGTGGCCTTCCTGAGTTTTACTTGGTAAGCATTTTTAATATTTTCTAGTAACAGCAGTTTAAGTTAAAAATATAAAACGCAAAGCAATTAGGCAAGTGGGAGGCCAAGGCCGAGCCTTGGAGGGAAAGGGACACAGGTAGAATACCAGTCTAATGATGACCTTGACGTATTCTAACAATGACCTTGACCGGCAGGATAGCCACGGAGAGCGCTTCCTGGGCTGGGCCGGCACCTGACAACGTAGCCCTCTCCAATCCAACTCCACGGACAGCTGTCTGTGCTGCACCTGGGAGGGAAAGCAGTGCTCATAGCGCCTGAGCAGCTATTAAGTAGCAAATACCAAGAGCCACTAACATTTATCCATGCTCACCATTCCCACGCCGGCCGTAACTGCCTTGCTCCCCCTGAGCTGGAGGCCCTGCCGGACAGACCCAGGGAGCACAGGCTCTGGACCCACATCACTTGGGCATCTAAAACAAGGAGAGACTGTCTTTCACTGTCTGACAGGGAAACAAACAAAAGCAATGAGGTAGCTGTGGGGAAGAATCAGGGCCCGAAGGACCATCCGGCCTCACTGGTGTTTTATGGAGGCAGCAGGCCCTTCAGTGCTCAGTGCTCTGCAGCTTCACTGGCCCAGCAGCCACCACAACCCACCGATCTAGCCACCACGTCGGGGGAAGGTGCCTTTGAACACCCACTTCCTTGCTCCACAAACCCCTGGGTGCACCGTTTTCTACAGCGACTGACCTCGTTTATCTCTGCCAATTGGATAGTCAGCTCTGCAAGGAGGACCGTCCACAGGAGGGCTGGGCTGCCTCCTCCCCATCCTGCCGCCGTCTGCTGACCCTGGGAAAGGGCTTCTGCAGGCCCACGCGACCAAGTGGCAAAAGCGACGATGCTGGGCCTCTGATGCCCTGGCTGAGAGCCAGGGAAACAGGGCAAAGAATGGGACGTGTTCAGGGAATTGCTGCCCTTCATTTATCCTTCCCTCCCACCTGCGCATTCACTGGTGTTCGCCAGCTGCTCTTTCAGCGGCCAGGTTGAGGCCTCACGAGGGTGGGGCAGCCTCGAATACGTGGAACCCTATTGGAGAGGGGAGGAGCGGGCAGGGGCAGGAGGAGAAGATGCAACTTCAGTGACAGGCTTCAGGGACAGATGCCCAACCCCATGGAGAACCAGCTGCTGCACACGGTGAACTAACCCTCCAGTGGAAACCCGCTGCTTCCTGGGAAAGCCTCCAGGGGGTCTCTACCTCCTTCTGATAACATATCAGCTTTTCAGATCATGTCCCTGCTTGCTCTGGTTCCCATGGCTACATGCTCTTCCCTCTCCTTGAAAGCACTTCCCCTTCGCAGGTGAGCTCATCATGACTTAATCCAGAACCCACTGTGCTCCAAGGCCGCCTCAGACCAGCTCGCAGCCCTCTGCAGACCCCTTTCCTGCTACGCCTTCGCTCAATTGTCTGATTACCTGCCTGCCTCGCCCTGAGGATGGAGTGAGGCATGGTTTCTGTGAGGACTGGATTGTAGTAATATTTGTGTCTCTCAGTGCCCAGCACACAGTAGGTCCTCAACTGATCCCTGCACAATGAAGCTGCATAAGAAGGTGGAGGCCCCAACAATTCCTAGCCCACGCTAGTCCACTGAGAGGTGATCACCCAGCCTCCTCACACCCTCCTCACCCTCCTCTTCCTCACTATCAGGGTAGCTCAACACAGTATTCTTCACAGGCTTCTCCTAAGTGATCTGTCTTGGGAGGTTCAAAGATAACACGGCTTGGAGATACCACTGAAGAAGGGCTTTTTCAAGCAAACAAGTCCCCTAAGATAGGAACTCAGATGAGCGATGTAACCTCTGTGGCTAATACAAATGACACCACTGGTGCATCTCAATGCCATCTGCCCATGCCCTCTGCCTAACCCCTGGGTATTTCCAGGTATTCTAACAGCTGGAGCCCTCTGGGTCCTGTCTCAGTGTGGTCTCCGCATGGGGCACCAGCAGCAGCACCACCTGGGGACTTGTTAGAAATGCACATTCCCAGGCCCCGGACCCGAATGGGAAGTCCTGATCCAGGCCCGGGATGCATCTCAGTAAACCCTCCAGGGGTTCCCCGGGCACTGAGGTGTGAGGACCGCTGTGTTCGACTTTGGCAAGACCACAGTACAGACCCCACAGTGCCTATTATTACAGTGCAAACTCGTCTGAGGAACGGAGCACAGGTTCACAGGACATCCATCTGTCCTTCCGGGCGGAACTGTCCAGAGGGTGAGCATGCTCCAGGCCTGCGCTGTCACACGGCAGCTGTCAGCCACCGTGGCTGTGGGCGTTTGGAACGGACAAAGGGACTAAACGAACTTCTCACGTTTAAATTGAAAAGTAAAGAGCACATGTGGCTAGTGGATGCCATATTAGACAGTGCAGTCCTAGAAGATGGCAAAACGACCTGAAAATCGCATTCCACCTCATTCCTAAAATCCTAGCAACAAAGATCTTTAAATTAGATCCCTCGGATGCCTACTTCTTCATATCGCTTCCTCCTGTGTGGTGCCTTTACACAGCTCATGCTCAGTAAATATTGGCAATTGCCTGTGGGTTAACCTAGTTTTGTCATCTGTTAAACAGAAGGCATTTACGCACCGATTCATTCATTCAAAGATCTCCTGCTTATCTCAAGTTTGCTCTATCAATATAGTGCTTTGAAACACTTTTTGAAGCTGTTTGAAGCATGATGTAAGGTAGCATTATTCTTTCTGTGCCAACTTGATAGGCTTTAGGTGCACAGTGTGACCCCTGGTGCATTAGAACTGGGGGCAGTAAGCCCCGCAGTGCGGCGGGATCCGCACGCATCATTAAGAATTATAGAAAAAGGGTGACAGACGTCAACCTCACACGCTGCTGAGGAATTGCTCTGTGGTTGCACAGCCCTCTCATGCATGCCGGGATCACTTCAGGTAGATGAAGGGTCTCCTTTTTCAAGATAAATATGCATTTTCATCTTGCTACTTGAAACAAGGCATAGCCTGGCTCTTAGCTGTCCCTCATTAATGAGTTTGTATGTAAATGATTAAAGCTGGGTCACAGAAAGACCATACCCCAAGTTTTATTTAAAATATGTCTATTAGCAGCTTAGCCAAGTCCAGGCCGTCCCTGAACAACAAGGGCTCCTGCGGAAGGTGTGTACTGAAGCGGGAGGGAGGGCTTTTGCAAAGCTCTCTCTCTCTCTGGCCGCCTCTGCTGAGGCTCCCACTCTCACAGGAAGCTGCCTGGGAGTGTGACAGGGGCACCAAGCCCTCAGTAAGAACCTGGGTCCAAGACCCCACAGAACCGAGTGACCCAGTTCTCCTGACTTGGATTCGACTGCTTCCCGTCTCCAATGACACCTGTCCTGCAGCTGTCATACCTGACCCTGGTGCCGCCTGACCTGGGATTTCCAAGATGGAAAAGGCAGCTGTAGGTGGCTTGCTCCTTCGTGCAGGTGAGAGGAAACTGAGGAGGGCCTGGTATCCCTGGCTGGCCAGGCAGGTGGCTTGGCACCGGGCATCTAAGTGGCAAGCAGCACTGCCTGGTGTGGATGGGGTGGCACGGAAGGCTGAGAGCCTGCGAGTTGCTGACTTTCTTTTCCGGCCACACCTGGCATGACTGGGAAACCACTTGAAAAGCATGGAGGGCACAGGAGGGGAGCTGGGTTAGGGGGCCGAGGAAGTCTGGACCAAGTCAAGGTTGAGACTCCAGGCAGAACTGAGGAGGAGGAATCTGACCAGGAGTTTGGTGTATGTAGGTTACCCTTTAAATTTACATTGTCATCTAGTCCATGCGGTCTCCCCTTGCCCGCCTCACCCCAGGCAGACATGACGATGCACCCCACCAAGCTAGTGCCGGGAGCCGGTCCATCCTTGCTGTTTCAAGGGACCTGGCATATATGGCATACTGTTCTTAATATGTTTGCTCACCTTCTTGGCACTATGTGTTTTAACCAAGGTCACCTCTCTGAGAAAGGTTGTTCCCCAGGTAGGGATTTTCCCCTGAAGTTAGGGAGGGAATAAAACCCCTTAACTAAGTGCCAGGCGGGTAATTAATCACTTTAACTACGAACAATCATGCTTAAGCTACATAATCTTTACTCCCTGGAATGGAGATAAGAAACGCCCTAACTTTTGGAATAGAGATTGATAGGATTGGAATCAACTGGTATATAAATACAGATGTAACAAGACAACAGGACACAGAACCTAGACACAGAACTTGGAGACAGAACTTAGAGACAGAACCTAGAGACGGAACATGGCAAAAGATCCTGGACAGAAACTGGAGACAGAACCTCGAGACAGAACCTAGTGAGAGAACATGGCAAAAGATCCTGGACAGAAACTGGCCACATAACCTAGAGACAGAACCTAGCGAGAGAACATGGCAAAAGATCCTGGACAGAAGCTGGCCACAGAACCTAGAGACAGAACCTGGCTACAGCACCTGGATAGAACATGGCAAGAGAACCTGACTAGAACCTGGTGACAGAACCTGGCTGGAGAACCTGGACAGAACCTGGCTGGAGAACCTAGCGAGGGAACATGGCTACAGAACCTGGCTGGAGAACCTGGAGAACCTGGCTGGAGAACCTAGCAAGAGAACATGGACACAGAACCTGGCTGGAGATCCTAACAAGAACTTCGCTGGAGATCCTGAACAGAACTTGGCTAGAGATCCTGGCTAGGTTGCTGATCAACTGAACGCTGTCTCCGTGTCATTCCTTCTTCGCCAACTCCGTCCACACCTTTGGGGACCCCTGAACCTGCTGGGGTGGGACCCCAGCAAGCCAGGAGCCCCTCGCAGGCCTCAAACAACAGCCAGGTGACAACGGTTGCTCCGCTCGCATCCCAATAAGATCTCATGACCTTTCTTGGTCTGTATGAACCTGCCCACTGTATGAATGAGGAACACAAACATAATTCATTTAATCCTCACAACGCGATGAGAAGGGACCATTATTGGCCCCATGTGGGGAGATGAGGAGACACCAGCATAAAGGGGTCAAGTACGTTCTGAGGGCCCAGTGTCAGGTGGAGCTGGGCTCCCCCGCGCGCCCCGCTCCAGGCACGGTGCTCTGTGGGGAGGAGACTGGCCGGCTCTGCACAGACCAAACAAGCATGTGCCTCTTGGAATGCTGTATTTGTAGATTCATGGAAGCCCGACATCTACAGGATATTAAAACCATCCTAAGAGACAATCACGGCAAAGGTGTAAGCATCGTTCTAAGCTTGCCAAATCTGAGCCTCAGAGCTTTTATAAAGTTTCAGAAATGTGGCTTATGGGGCAACGGTTTATGGTCAATTGCCTTTTGATCTCTCATGTGAAAAATATGTACTTACATATATTGCAGGAAACCTCACCACTTCCTAAGTGTCGGGCAAAAACACTAATTACTTGACTAATTAGACTGTGAAACTTCCCTTACAGATGGTAAAAAAGGGCTATTCACCCCACAAATTTAGTTGTGACATACCACCAAAAAAATGTGGAAATGTCTCAATGGTTTTACTGTAGACAGCATGAACAATTTAAGCAAACCATATAAAAATAAATGAGAAACTAATGGAAATAGTCTGTTCTTTCAGAGAGGAAACACCGGGTCTGTGGGAGGAAGGAGCTAGTGCCTCAGGCCTGCCAGCGAGGGGCGGCGGTCCCGGCGAGCCGAGGCCTGCCAGGCACCTCCTGGTAGGACGCCCCCAGTGAGTCCCCGGGCCAACCCGACTCGTGCTCCGTGGGCACTTTCTTTCCACTGCACTTGCTGCCGCAGGCTGAGGTGCTCGCCTCCGGTTTCTTCCCCGCTCTTCAGTTGAGAGAGAAGCCAGGGTAGCCTCCGTGAGCTGTGCGCACACTGTTTCAGCCTGCCCCTGCGCGCACTGCCCACAGGGCCCAGTGAAATGGACTCAAACACCAAGTCCTGCCGTCGGGGCAGGAAGCGCCTCTGGCCAGTGCGTGCTCATGCTGCGGGGAGAGCCTGAGCGCCGGCCCCCGCACCTGCCCACGTGCCCGCTGCGCGGGCGGGACACACTCACCAGCATCTAGGCTGCCAGTAGCTGCTGTCCAGCCCATGACGGGGGGGATGGCGCCCACCACGGCTCCGACCCACGTGTTGGCAATGCTGACCCTCTTCAGCGGGGTGTAGCAGCAGGTGTACAGGAAAATGTTGAAGAGCCCCAGGGCTCCTGTGAGGGGGTTCACCCCCCAGGTCAGAAGGGCGACTCCTGGGACGGCACAGCAAGCGGCAAAGGTCACAGTGAGCAGCGGGCTGCAAGAGAGCAGAGCACAGCGGTCACTTTAAGCGTGAACCCGGCAGGGATCGGAGCTGACGAGCAGCACCCACCCATCCGAGGAAGCCAGCTGGGAGCAGGGCTGGCTCCTTCCTGTCTGGGCATCTTCTTCACGAAACTGGAAAATGTAAGGAAAACTGCCAAGTGAAGCTGCAATGGCAATGATGACCGCAAGCCTCATTCTCAACAGTCTACTTTTTCAGAGTACACTTTGTGCAGAACCTTGTGGAAGACTTTGAAGTGAACATAAATTGGACGTACTAGTTTCTGATAACATGCATGTTCATTTATTCTTTAAGAAACCTGAGTTCACTCCACTGCGCCCTCTCCCTACAGAAGTCAGGCCGGGGCCTCTGAGGACACCACCCGGCAGGCCCCACACTGCGCCCCCTGGGAGGCGGGAGTCACGGGTGTGCAGCTTCTCGGGGGCTCAGGTCTGGCAACGGCCAGTTCTCCAGGAAGACAACCTTCCCCCTACGGGAGGCAGCACCCTCCATTCCCAGGGCTGCAGGTTCCCACAGCCGGAGGAAAGCCCTGTGCTCCCAACCCTGCCCCTTGAGGAAAAAGACTATGACAAGTCAGGACTGGGAAGGGGGTTGGGAGATGAGGAGCGCGCCAGCTGGAATGCCCTGTGAGTCAGGGAAACAGAACCGAGAGCTGGGAGGGGCTTGGAGAAGTCCAGCTTCCACTGGTGTGCCGAGCGCTGGGCCTGGAGGCAGCTCCCAGCAGATGAGAGTCCGGATGGAGCAGAGAGCCAACCAGGGATGCGCTGCTGTCCAGATGCTTGCGATGGAAGGCCCGTGAGCTACCCCAAGACTCCACGGCACATGCAGTCGGAGGGAGAACTTCCTCTGTCCCAGCCACCACTCCTAAATCTTGTCAGCTACTTCCTCAGCCCTCGCTCCGCTCGGCACCCTCAGTCTTTATTCTGTTCCCCACCCCCCAAAACCACTCCCACTCTGGGTGCCACTTCTGAATCCGCCTTCTGGCCCACTATCTCCACTCCTGCTAGAGAAAACCCTATAACCGACCAATTCCTCTCCCGTTTCTCAAGTCTCCAGATTCACTCTGGCCCCTAATGCCCTTGGCAGTGGCAAATATCCTCATCTTTACTGCCTGACCCTTCTTCCATTTTGGCGAGGAGGGGACACCATCTCCATTTTTAAAGATAAACTCTCCTTTTGCTCTAATTTAATCTCCTCCCAAACCCGTCTTTATCTTCTATCTCCACTTTTGGCCTTTTGCATCCTCTGAACAATTACTTTGTTCATATTTCCCCCAAAGTTCTTACTGTACCTCTTCAAACCCACACATGCTGATGAAGCGACTGCACAGGGCTCATGTCTCCAGCCTGGCTTCCTACCTGCCCGCACCCCTCCTCTCCCACCCCCCGAAACGACTTCTCACTTGGTTTTCAGATATGGTGGGCGACATAATTTCTCAGAGTCAAGTTTAGGACAGTGCCTGTGTTGTTCCACCCCGTGTGCGCAGACTGAGATGGCTAAAAAGCAGTGCAAATATTATAACTGTTATTCTTTCATAATGTGTTTTATAGCTTATAAGGACAGATTTCCCCCTTCCTATGGGATTCTACAAAGCAAGTTTTATTTTGGGTGGGAGAAAAATGTGGCTCATAAACATTTTTATTTTTCCTCAGTTGGACCTTGTGTGAAAAAAAGGTTGTTCCTTCTTTCTCCAAGGTCTGTGGGAGCCAGTTGTACTCGAATTGTGAAAAGCACCCTTAGAAAAGCACACCTGAATCTAATTTATCGTGATGGGCAACTGTATGTGGAAGCTTAATTTCTGACCCTCCTGGACATCACAGGAAATCATGGGGCTTACTTTTGGTGTGTAAACCAGTGTGCTCAGGGACACGAGAAAGCACAGAGGAGGTTGGCGAGGCCTGCAGAGGACATGAGCACACCTCCCGGAGAGCAGGTCACTCCAGCACCAGTCCCTCACAGACCACCGCCCCCTGGCCGGCCTGACCCTGGAACCTCAGGGCTTCCGCACGTTATGGGCAAAGGTGCGCCAGTTCAAACTCTGTGAAGTTTACTTTCATGATGCTTTATTTTTCCTAAAACATGTATTATAAAAGCAATATATGTTCATCTTGGAAACACTGAAACTATAAAAAATCACAAAGAAGAAATTCTAAATTGGTTATTCAGGGAAATATATTGGTTTCTTTCTTTCTAGCCTTTTCTTAATAACATATCTACCTAAAAAATAACCGAGAACATACTGAATTGTGGTTTTGTTACTTACTTAATTTCAATATATCTTAATAATTTCCCCATGCCATTAAGAATTCTTTTACATCATCATCATTAGTTACACAGTGGCCTATTCTATGGCTATACCACAATTAATTCCATCTCTAGACTCTGTTTGGATACTTGGTATTTTTCTATTTCTTTACATAGAAAAAATGTTGGGAGGAATACCTTACAGACAGGCTGCTATTCACAGAGCCGATCAGGATACATTCTGAGGGTAAGTTTCTAGATGTGCGATTGTTAAGCCAGACTTTAGGCATTTTGCACGTTTTAGGGGTTCGGACTTGCACCAGCCATCTATACTCCGGAGTGTACACTGGTTTATGCTCCACGGGCGGCATCACAAGGAGCCCGTTTCCAGGACCCGTATCAACACTGGGAATGGCATTAAACACAAAACAAAAATGAACCAAGAGAAGCCTGTGTATTGAGACAGTCTTGCCCTCATTTTACAGATGAGACACTGAGACTCACTAAGGAATAGCTCAGGAGCAGGACCTGGGCTCAGGCCACTCGCTGGCTCCCTCATTCTGTCCAAGCTCCCCCAGTGGGGGGCACTGGTGCAACAGGACTCGCTGGCTCCCTCATTTGGTCCAGAGCTCCCCCAGTCCGGCGGGGAGGGGGGGGGGGCACTGGTGCAACAGGACTCGCTGGCTCCCTCATTTGGTCCAGAGCTCCCTCAGTCCGGCGGGGGGGGGGGGGGGGGGGCACTGGTGCAACAGGACTTGCTGATTCACTTATTTCTTGGGTCTGCTGCAAGCTGGGACCTTCAGGCAGCTTCCTTTAGCTGGGAGGAGAGTCCTGTTGGGTTTGAAGGTTCCTTCAGCACTAGCTGGTTCAGCTCAGTGGATAGAGCGTCGGCCTGCAGACTGAAGCGTCCCAGGTTTGATTCTGGTCAAGGGCACATGCCTGGGTTGCAGGCTCGATCCCCAGTAGGGGATGTGCAAGAGGCAGCTGATCAATGATTCTCTCTCATCATTGATGTTTCTCTCTCTCTCCCTCTCCCTTCTTCTCTAAAATCAATAAAAATATGTTAAAAAGAAAGTTCCTTCAGTTCACCCCACTGTACCGATAGCCTGGCTTTCTCCTGCGCTCCCTGAGATAAAAATGATTGGAAAGCACTAAAAAAGCCCGGAGAGAATATGGGAGCTGGCAGAGGTAGCAGGCAGCCACAGTCGGGAGTGTCAGCAGAGGACACGGCAGCCTGGGAGACCGATGGACAGAGGGGGCGGAGGGTGCACAGGGAAGGGCTCCAGGAAGCTGACCTGCAAACTGCGACCTAGCGGATGGGTGGGCGGGAGATGGGCAACAAGGGCGAGAGGCGGGGCCCAGGCAGGGAGCCAGCACGGCAGGGGCCACCGCCTGGAGTGCAGTGTGGGGTGGGGAGAGGCAGAGAGCAGAGGTCAGGAAGGCCAGGTCAGACACCTAACATTGCCTCTGGGCACAGGCAGAGCCAGCAGTTTTAACTAGGGGGAGAAAAGAGCAGACCTGCTTTTCAGAAGGATCGCTCCACCTGCCAGCACGGCCAGCAATGGACATGCATCGTCCGCCTCACAAGGGAAATCACGTCAGACATTTTGAGGAGAATCATGGACACACTGCCACGCAATGTTTATCAAATGCTAGCTGAAACGAACAGAATTCGCCTAGCCAGCTCTCTGGTCTGCCATCTAATATTCCCAAATCTGCTGGTGGTGCAGAGCAAGGCAGCAAAGAGCAGGCGCCCTTCCCTGGAGGCTTTTAGATAGAATCACAGGTGGTAGCCATGGTTTGCATTTTTAGATTGATTATTTTTGGCTCTATTTTATCTCTCCCAAGTCTTTTTATGAGGTGGTTTTAAAGAAAACACCATATATTTTTAATTGATTTCAGAGAGGAAGGGGGAGAGAGAGAGGGGGGGGGGAGGGAGAGGGAGAGGGGGAGGGGGAGGGGGAGGGGGAGGGAGAGGGAGAGAGAGAAACATCAGTGATGAGAGAGAATCATTCATTGGCTGCCTCCTGCACACCCCACACTGGGGATTGAGCCTGCAACCCCAGTATGTGCCCTGACTGCGAATAGAACTGTGATCTCCTGGTTCATAGGTCAACACTCAACCACTGAGCCACGTCTGCTGGGCTTTTGAACAATTTTGTCATATTTCACATAGCTTTACAAGTTAACTGAAGCTCTGTCTAAAATAAGGTAGAGTACAAGAGTTAGATAAACAAAGGGCTTATCTTGATAAATGGCAGGATTTGTACATAATGAAAATACGTCAGTAATAGAAGCAAATTCTTTGTGAAACTGTAAGTAGGAGGAGGACTTGCAGAAATAATGGTTCTGGGACAAAGAGAAATGATATAGAGTGGATTATTTTTTCAAGTTTGATTTACAATGAAATCTTTGAATAAGGTGGTGATTAAAGTTAAGTTTAATTGTTTTAAAAGAAATCTATTCCTGATACAGAGATGAGTGAGAGAAGCTCATTTCTTCCCTCAACTGAGTCCAACACAACTGACTCACCAAAGTCAGGGACAGAGCGCAAGGGACTGACGGCGATTTCATCAATGACTGATGTGGTATTTTAGCTCAACCACCCAACATGCATCCTTCTTCCCCATCACACTGCTCAGCCCTGACCAAAAACGCATCTGCTCCTCTGTTCCTAAATGGGCAGGAAAGTGTCCCAAACCTGTGGAGAAACAGAGGAAGCCAGACTG